AGTACTGTTTTATAGATTGACTTACAACTCTGATTTACCACTTGACTTTCTATTTGACCTTTTTTTTTATGGTGGTTATCAGTACATTTTAAGGTAAAAAGCAGATTTTGGTACATTATATCATATCACTTAACATTACATTATATCACTAATATCCAGGCACCAATATGCCATAATATCTGAAAGATTGTCACATACATTTGATGGTGAATTTCTGATGGTGTTTGTTTGTTTTAATGTCAATTTAAACAGGATTTTTTTTTTATAGTGGTGTTATGTATTTTTTCTCATACAACAATGTGACAGTGGTGAACTCAGAAACGGGGGAGAACAGGATCCAAATGCATATAAACTAGAGAATTACAAAACAATGTAAAGAACAAAAACAGAGAACACCAACTAAACACTAGGGAAGACAACCAAGACCTATAATCTTCAAGTCCAAAACCAGATACCCAACAGGTAATATGTGACAAACAGAGTGCAACTACAGATATTAGTAGCCTCAAAATAAAACCAAACATTGAGTTAGAAGGTTTTAGTTCCTCAAAGCAAACAGCACACTATATATTAACACTAAGCCACCCTTACGTCTTCGTCATGTCATCAGAGACTAATTTTCTGCATTGAATAGTGACATAATACACCATAATGAGTGACAGAAGCCGACAAACACAACCCTCTCCCCCTCTTTCCTCCCTCTCAGCTCCTACATCTCTGTAATCTAGAGTGTGCAGGTTTGAATTAAGATCAATTGACAAGATAAAACAGTTTTCACTGGTTCTCATGACTACCACTTTTCACCCAAACTGCTTTGATTATATTTAATCTGATGGTAATCATGGCTAAATGACAGACAGATGATAAGAAAGGCAGGGTCCCTTTCTCACTGATGATTTTCTATTACCACCCAATCAGACAGCTGTCAAGGTTTCTTTTCATAGTGATTTGGCCATGACGCTGTGTGTGTGCTGTAATTAGGTCTTTAATATGGGTGATTAAGGCCCCATTGTAACTGACTCCGAATGAGAAATGTGAGGCAGTTCTTCTCAACTTCTTTTGACAAATCAATTTCTGCCAGCTAATTTTGTGATTTACAATTAAAATGTAAATAGTACATTAAATATAGTGAGATGCCAGTGCAAACGACGAATACGCCATGTTGACAGCATCAATAATGTAGCATCTAATACAGCATCTGCTGGGCTGCTTCAGCGAGAGACCACAATTTAAGTGAGTGTTGATTGGCTGAAGCGCGCCTGACGTCACCTCGCGGATGTTTAAAGGGCATAGAAGTAACAGAGCAGCGTTCATTTACAACGCTCAGACCTTGTGAGGACACGCAAGCGAGACGTAATTTAAATGTAGGTAAATGAAGATATATCCGCGTTTATGACCTCTCCTTTTTGCCTAAAGACAAGATATGGACCGGCGTCTGCGTCTGTCCGAGCTGACAGACTGAACGCGATCATCTGTTCTGTATTGAAGAGTATGTGAAATGATCTGGAAGCTGTGAAGCAGGTGAGTGCGCATGCTTGTGTCAAACAAGTATAAGTGTGTGAACTTGTTTACTTTGATCAAATTGTTTATTTGTCAGTGTCCCACAGAAAGAGGCCCACTGGTCAAATTCATTTATTGCCTACTTACAAACTAATTGAATACAGTTTGTGTTTGTTGTCCAGTTAGTAACATCTGTTCAGTTGACATGCATTCTGTTCTAGGTAGTGACCTTTTTAGTATGGTTAACACTGCTTGTAATACGCAACCACCTCATGTCATAATGGGGGCCCTGGCATGGAAGCGGTGCGTTGGATGTGGATGCAAGATTTCAGACCGCTTCCTCCTGTTTGCTCTGGATGGATACTGGCACTGCCACTGTCTCAAGTGCTCCTGCTGTCAAGCCCAGCTAGCAGAAATCGGCTCATCGTGTTTCACAAAGCATGGCTTGATCCTCTGCAAAAGTGACTATATAAGGTCAGACTACAGGATCAACACTCTGTTTTGTTATTGTCATCCTCTATAATTTACTATAATTCACACCCTGAGCTAACACATTTACTAGACAAATGAGAGAAATTCTACCATACATCTAATAAGTCTTCTGGCACTGTAGTCAAGAAAATATATGGGGTTTGACTTAAAGGGATAGTCCTCCCAAAAAAGAAAATTGTCATCATGTACGCACCGTCATGTTGTCCCAAACCTGTTTGACCCAAACAGTTTTTTTTTTTTTGTCTGTGGAAAACATATTTTGAAGAATGTTGGGATCTAAACACTTTCAGTTCCAATTGACTTGCATTGTATGGAAAAAAAATGTAAGTCATTGGGAACTGAAACTGTTTTTTTTTTTTTAATCATCATTCTTCAAAATGTCTTTTGTGTTCAGCAAAAGAAAGAAATGCAGTTTCAAATACAGGTTAGAAACAACATGAGGGTGATTTAAGATGACCAAATTTAATTTTTGGGTGAATTATCCCATTAAATGAGGAAAAAGTATAGGCAAACGTTCAAATAGACTTGCTTATTAAAAGATATATTTGTGATTATGATGTTCACTACAGATTGTTTGGTCACAGCGGAGCCTGCAGGGCTTGCAGTAAGTCCATCCCTGCAAATGAAATGGTTATGCGAGCACAGGGCAGTGTTTTCCATGTCAAGGTAATTTACTCTATTAAACTGACCCATTTAAATACAGATAATTTACTCCTTGTCTAGGTTGATATGCTGAAGTGTGTTTTGGGGGGGACAGGGTGCCTTGTAATATGTTTTCCTCACAGTCATTTCTTTCTTTACTCTTGTAGTGTTTTGTATGCTCCATCTGCCATAACCAGCTAGTACCTGGTGACCGTTTTCACTACACAAATGGAAAACTGTACTGTGAGCAGGACCGACCGACAGCTTCTGCGCACAGATGCGACCACTTGGATTCACTCAGGGAGCACAACATATCTGAACAGAAGTCCTGAGCTCATTTTTTTGCTGAGCTCCGAGAAAGAGACACTAATGGAGCACCTAGTTTCATATTCAAGACCTCATATAACCCAGTAGTTGCTTTGTCAGCTACAGACCATTTTGTGAAGGTCTAATATTGTGGAAATTCAACGTATATGGTAATATCTGGCAGTTTAAATGAGGTTAACCATTGAAGCTGAAAAGTAATATCGGCGAGCAGCCTTGCGTATCATAATCAATTATGAATTGGTTTTGCACGGAATGACCTTTCTTATATGTTGTGGACCTGCAATTTAGTTGTGGTGTCTGTTAGTTTTGATATAATGCTGTGTACTTCACTTTCAGGCAGTGAAAACACACCACCTTCCTCTGGTGTGTGTGTGTGACATTTATCTTTTGGTTATGGGACGGCTATTCTTCCTGGTCTGCAATTACAGTATCACTGAAATTAACCTGTCCATAAATCAATTCTGGTAGTATCCAGAGAGTCCATGTTCTCTTTATCCTTTGAAGCAGACCTCCAAATGATCTCTTAGAGAGCAATTTTTTTTATTTATTAGAAAATGACATTCTGAGCTCGCTATAAAGGACCAATCTTTAAAATGTGTTGTGTGTGTGTGTGAAGTAATATTTGCTTTATTCAGAATAATTAAAAATCTTTAAAACCCCCAGAAAGGATCTCTTCACTGATTTTGAGCTGTGTTTTCAGTTGTGATGCATTATAAATGCTTTCTAAATATGTTGTCAGACACAGAATTTATGGAGAACACCACCCTCTGTTGGCTGAAGGTAATTCTGTCACTTTCAAAAGTAACTTTATATATTCAGCTTTTTTCAGTAAAAGCAACTCTCATCATGATATAAAGCTATGTGCAGAAATATTTTGTTGAATTATGAATTTAGAAAAACAAATACTAAGAGGGAACATTATATAAAACATTTTATAGTTGTTTACAGAATAAATACACTATACATTGTTAAAGCCTGAGAGAAATATCGATTAATTAACAATTTGTCCTTTATATGAGTTGTAAAGTAAAATACATTGGGAGCTGTTAAAATATTTCACGATAGAATAAGTGGTGCTGCTTTTATAGAGTAAATCCTTATTGAATGACTATTGCTGCTTCTGCAGAGTAAATCTAAATGAACTGAAAAAAAAAACTCAACAATGAAATGAATGTGGTCCTGCACCTATAGATGAAAAATGAATTAGTTGTTTCTACAGAATATGTCCCTATCGAATAATAATACACAATTAAAAATAAATCACAAAGAAATGAGTTGCACTGCTGTAACAGCATAACATCCCTATAGAAGTCAAAATAAAATATAAGCGGTCCTGCTCTTATAAAGTCACAAAACTGACTGTTGTATTACTTCTATATAAATCCTTATAGATGAATTAATGCTGGTGCTAAAAAATAAGTTGCAATAAAAACTAAATGTGTTGCTATACCATTACAGAATAAATCACAATAGAATGAGTGCTGTGTTATGTCGAATATATCCTTGAAGGTCCCTCTTTGTCCAAAACTATATTTGAAGACCCATATATTTGAAGAGAAAAATGATTGTTATTGAAGAAGACAAATGTTAAAATAAATATATTTGCATCTTGGTTTTTTGATTCTTTTTAAATGTTAGCATTTTTCCTTTACAATTTAAACCATTTTTAAGTCCTCCCCTGTGACTGAGGCCCCGGCCCCCAGTTGAGAACTACTGTTAGAATACATTAGGCCAGAAAGTGCAAGAGTTTACTCCTATAATAGTTTACAAAAAAAGGAGTTGTGATTTCCTGTAAACATATAGAATGTGTTACTTCAAATAAAATACATCGGGATACATTTTTCTTCTGCAGAAACTTCTACATATAAAGTCCTTACATAATAAATCATTACAGTGTGCTACTCCTGTAAAATAAGCCCCAATGCAATATAATTCTGCTAATCGCAGTACAATAACTTGTGTTGTTTTTAACAGAATAAAGTCCTTATAAAGTAAGTCCAAACAGAATTCGTGGTCCTGCTCCTATAGAATCTGCTATTGATCACATGATCGAGGGTGGACTGGCCGTGGCTGAACTGGGTGCGGGAACAGAAACTTGCACTTGGGTCGTTCTGCCACCCGCCTCCCCTTGTTCCGATATTAGCAGCACGGCTCTGCGTTCACCCCAAAAGCGCGGACCTCCGCTCTGATCCCGGGTCTAAACCCTTGCGTTTACAACAAACCCCCTCCGTATCCCGGCAATGCTATGGATCGTACCCCAAATAAAGCGATTTTCGCTTGAGACGAAAACATAACAGGCTTGTGTTTTTTGGGAGTGACTCACCTCCCCTTCCCCAGAGTTTGATTCAAAAAAAGAGTTCACAACCAAGATGGCCGCCGATCCCATGCAGGTAGGAAAAGTTTTTATTTTATTTCGTACAGTACAGATGTAAAGAATCTTAAAGTATGCTTTAAAAACATGTGCCTTTTAGGCGCAGCTCTCTCGCGCACTTTCAAACCACTACTTCTTCTTCCTTTGGGACGAGCTGCTCCCTCCGCCGAAGAGCTCATGACACGGGAAAACGGGGAATGGGGCCCGAAAAACACTTATGACAGGAGTTTAGAGGTTGTGTTGTTCTCGTACGGTCATAGTAGCGTCTCCAGATAAAATGTAATTTAGATTGAATTGCCTGTTGCCTGTTGGAAACACGGAGTTGTGGTGGATTGGAATTGTACACACTGGCTGAGTCTCAAAACCTAGTGAGCTGCCTACCTAGAAAGCAAAACTGGTTGAAGAAACTAAAACAAATTTAAAAGAAGTTAATGGACAGTAGTTAGGTAAGTCCACTGCCTCTACCATGTTATTACCACATTATCCCTACTGTGAGATGTGGGAAGTTTAGAATGAAGTTCTGTTCTGTTGGTGTATGCTTGCGTTTTTCTACAAATGATTTTGTAGTTATTTGGTTGGGGCTTGTCTTTTTGTTCAGTGCTGAACTGCAGTCTTGTTTCTAACTCTTTGAAACTAGTTATCAAGATAATCTGAAGGTGTTTACAGTCTAAACTTGTAATTTAATAACTCGAATGGTTTGTTGGTTAATATAAACGAACAAACTAAACTATATATAAACTATTCCAGTAAAATTAATATATTTTTACTGTTTACCTGCCTTTGAGATGCCTTAAACATAATTCAGTAACTGCAATGAGCTGTCAGCTATTATAACTCGACTTCATTAAAGGGGTCATATGATGCTTTTTTAAAGATCGTTATTTTGTGTTGTGAAAAGAGACTTCAAGATGTAGACTTTCACTCATACTGCAATAGTTGTTTGAGTCCACCCCTTTTTACTTTTAATGTTGTTCACAAGCAGACATGATCACAACATTTTTGAGCATTTGTAAATTCAGTAAAAAAAATCCCCTAGCTGTCAGATGTCATTTTGCCAGTGCATTCAAATTACAACCAGGAATCTGTTGTGTTTTTCTCAGTTTTTGTTACTGGAAATGACACTGTTGTTACTGAAACATGATTTGCCAGTATTTGTTCCCAGAACTGATAAGTCCAAGAGTATTATGGAAAGTGGAAGAGACACTGCTGCATAATTTGGTTTTATGCAGTGAGTGAGAGGTTTGGAGACATTGCTGGTTAAAGTGCTCTTCAGGACTCTTTCAGGAGGGAGATTTTAACCCTCGTCAGTTTGAGTATTAATGAGCAAAACACATTATTAATGGAAGCTTTTTGTTTTGCATGTTGTGCTGTTTTAATATTGATTTTGTGTATGTCCTAAGTGTTGCAGCACAAGTGAGGAAGCGATAAGGTGCAACTGGCTTTTTCCTCATTATCTAAAATGTAGGACAGTTGCTTTTCCATGCCCTTCAGCTGACCCATGGGTCAGTGCTGTACATGCAAGCAGAGTGTCAAAACATACATACCATACTTATTGGTATCTTCCAGAATAATATTATCAATGCATCCCTATTTTTATTATATGAATGTTGATTTATTTGAATAATATGACCATTATGGATTCAAATTAGTGCTGGGCGGTATGACCAAACATGTATATCACGGTATTTTTCAAAATTATACCGGTTTCACGGTACATGACGGTATTTTTTTTTTTTGAGAGAGGTGACACTTCTCCGGGAAAGTCAGACCTCGCGTTCGCGGGACAGCACTGGCGAAATCTTCCAACTGAACCATAGCTATGGTTTATCTAAAAAAGTCACTAGGTTTGTAAGTATGAATATTCTATGGGAAAAAAGCCGCTAAAGGGGTCTGAAAGTTGCTAAATCTAGTGCTCAAGTCGCGCTTGTGTGTGTGTGAGACGCGGGAGCTGATGGCAGGGGGCGGTGGATATTTGTGGTGGTCAATGTGAATATTGTGGATTGGTTCTTCTGTGTCACCACGTTCTATTAGTTCTACAGCTTCAGTTTCGGAACTTTCACACTTAGTAACACATACAGCTGTTCCCTCACCACAGTGCAACAGTGAAAAGGGACCCCTTTCAAACAGTGTCGCATTCCGAACGTTGTTTAAGCGACATACACCGGTATTGCGGTATTTTAAAAATTCATGTCATAACAAAAATAGACACCGGTATTTGGTATGAACCGGTATACCGCCCAGCACTAATTCAGATGTATTTTGCATATTAACTGTGGATGCTTGTCGAACCTCACTTTCACCCTCCTTTAGACCTGAATGAGCACATTCTGCTGAAAGTCTTTCAGCACTTTGTTTTGAAGCTTTATTTATGGCTCCTCTTTCCCCTGGAGGAAGATTAGAGTTCTCTTACATGTTGTCAGTGAAGTCATGAAGAGCTGGGCTAAGCAGGATTTGGCTCACCCACTCAGACCAGTTATCCTCCCTGCTGATGTCAGTGATACTGTGTTTCTTTATGCGTATGTGTACCTCTGTGTGTTTTCATTCTTGCTTAGGGTTTAGTGTGCAGGGTGCACTAGGAGATGTGAATGCAATATATCATGACTAATGTTACTGCAGGTGACAATTATGCCTTAGGAGGGAATTTCCTTCAGGTGCTTACTAAGAATCTTTTATTTTTTGCATGAAAAGACGACCTAAGAAAGTCTTTGAAATTGTTTTCTAAACAAATTTTATGTAAAAGGTGTAGGATATTGACATCAAATATGGTAATATATTTTGTGATGACTGTAAAATGGTTATTTTGTACAGGCTCACATGGTTTCGGACCGGCTGGGCCTGGGGCACAACCTTGACCTGTCTGATACCATGGTGCAGCAGAAGCTAGACGAAATCAAGGAGCAGATCAAGAGGGAGATCCGCAAAGAGCTGAAGATCAAAGAGGGGGTGGAGAACCTCAGAAAGGTCACAACGGAAAAAAAGAGACTGGCATATGTTGATAATATGCTCAAGAAGTCCAACAAGAAGTTAGAGGAGCTTCATCAAGAGTTGCAGGAACTCAATGCTCATATTGTGGTGAAGGATCCAGAGGATCTTCTCTTAGGTATGAGCAAAGCTTTCATCAGTAAATTTTAACCATCTGTAGTGCCATCTGTATTTATATACACACACACACACACACACACACTACCATTCAAAACTTTGAGGTCAGGATGAATTATTTAAAGAAATTAATTCAACAAGGATGCATGAAGTGGCAGTAAATACATTTATAATGTTACAAAACTAAATGCTGTTCTTTTGAATTTTGAAGAGTCCAGGAAAAAGTTATCATGGTTTCCACAAAAATATTAAGCAGTACAATCTTTCAACATTGATAGTTATAATAAATGTTTCTGGAGCAGCAAATCAGCATACTAGAATGATTTCTGAAGGATCATGTGACACTGAAGACTGGAGTAATGATGCTGAAAAGTTTGCCATCACAGGAATAAATTACATTTAATAATATATTCAAATAGTAAACAGTAATTTAAAATGGTGATAATATTTCACAATATTTAAGTTTTTAGCCATATTATTTAATATAGCCTTTTTTGTTACAACCAACTCTCATGCTCTTTGACAAAAATAAACAACAAACCGTTGAAGTCCAGTGCAGTTTTCTAATTATGAAAGCACTACGTCTTGCAGGCCTCCATATATTTGAGCTTTTCCTTTGATTAAAAAGAATATTTTTTAATGGACAGAAAAGGACATTTTTTATTAAATGTTTAACATTTCACCCGTTCTTACTGATCCTGACAAAACTTTACAAGTCATTCTTTCAGTTTCCAGTGGGTCATCCTTGTTGAGGCATGCTATCTTTTATATGACGTGCTTCTCCACGGTGTCCACAAATCACTTTTTGATTGTTTTGAAGATAAATAGTCTTTACATGTGAGATATGTGAGTCCAGACAGTAAGCAGTAGCAGTTCGTCTAAACTGAATAGTTACAGAGCAACCTCCTCTAGACTATAATATTTAGTTGTGAGCATATCTGCCAGACGCATGATCAGATCTCTCACCCTACTAACCACATCCTTATACGGGACAAGATGTAGCCTGGCATGGAAACTTTATCTGATGAGAAAGGGCTTTTGTTTGGTGACTCAGCGCAAGTGGAATGTCGCCGCGTGTCACACCTCTGTGTTGACCTCCTCAGTCTGTGTCCGCTAAGCAGAAATCAGCAGATGCCACTGGAAGACAACAGCGCTCCAGTGCTAGTGCCTCGCTGGTGACGTCATAGTTGCTCAGCACTTGTTGGGAGTCCAGACAGTGGGATTGGTCGGACTATTCCACTCGCTGATGACCCGGGTCAAGCCTTCTGCACCTCATTATATCATCAGCTCTGATTACATCCATTGCACAGACACATCTATTTGCTTTTGTGTATGGCAAATAAGTACAAAATAAATAGTTAGTCCAGTGTGGTATAGGGCTTTGATCAAATTATAAGCATCTCTGAAGTCTCAAAGTAAGGGTAATAGGTTAGTAATACCTGCTGTGTGGGTGTGTTATCCCTTACCCTGCGGACTCTGTTTATAATAAGAGGAATCTGTATTTATGCCTTGCATAATGATGTGACTCAGGAGTCTCCAGGTGCTTAACAAAAGACGATTGTTCCTCATTACCATGTGCTTCCACAATAAGGTGCTTTGTGAAGATTTATTTATCAAAGACAATCTCCTTTGTCTTTGCTTCCGCTCTGAACCTCAACAATCTTCTGGAGGTTTTGTAGTAGGCTAAATCGTCATGTAGAGAGAGGGTTTCATACTCTGTCTGTGTTGTCTATGAAGCAAATGTAAAATCAACACATTTTTGGAGATATTTTATCATTTGAGTTTGATGTTATTTGAATCTCATTGATGGTGCATATTGTTTGAGGCTGACTGTAACGCCGTATATATATATATATATAGAGCCACATATATGGCTAGTTGATATAAACAGTAATCAAAATTCAAATATTTTCAGACATTTGATGATATAAAATATATAAACTACTGTTTTAAATGTTTTGAAAGAAGTCTCTTATGCGCTCCATTGTCTCCAAGCATTTATTTGATCAGAAACACAGGGTAAACAGTAATATTGTGAAACATTATTATAATTCATAATAACTGCTTTCTATTTTAATACATTTTAAAGTGTAATTTATTCCTGTGTAAAGCTGAATTTTCAGCAGCCATTACTCCAGCCTTCAGCGTTACTTGATCCTTCAGAAATCATTCTAATATGTTGATGTGGAGCTCAAAAAACATTTCTTATTATAAATGTTTAAAAAAGTTATGCTGCTTAATATTTTATGGAGACAAGGATTTTTGAGTATTCTTTGATGGATTGAGCATTAAAAAACCTTAAGGATCCTTTGCAACATTGTAAATGTCTTCATCACTTTCGATCAATTTATTACATAATTCAAAAATAATTTCTTTAAAAAAAAAAACTGACCCAAGCTTTTTTTCTTCAGTCAGTGGTTTGATGATTTTTAACCACCTGCCATTGCTGTCAATTTTAAAACCTTTACTGTAAAACACAGTAAAAATGTAGGTAAAAAAATTAAGTCTTTACCAAATGTAGGCAATTATTTTTTGTTCTTTTTTTTTTATGCACCAACAGTAATATTGATGAACGTGTTTTATTTTTTCAATTTATTTAGCCTTTTCTTACATGGGACCAAGTTGATTTAACAGAAAAGTGGAAGGAGAGAAAAGTGGTTCACCTAAAAGAATTGACCTTACCAACTGTATTGCCATTATTGCTGTTAAAGTTTAAATCAAAGATGCTACCAAAAGACATCTGTTTTTTGCATGACACCATATTTTTTTTTATATTACCCAGCTCTGCTTTCACATAAAGTGCCTCTGTGAGAGCTGATGTTTTTGTTTGTTATTAGAAGAAGTCTAACAGGTTTCATTTATCTGTCGAGGTGGGGGAGTTTTTTCTTGTCTGGACATGTTAAGTAGTGATGTGCTTCATTGAAATAATTTCAGTTTTCATAGTCCTTCATCAAAGCAACCTCAAAACATTCCTGGAAAACTGCAAAACTTACAGAATTAAACATTCACCCTCATAAGAGTGCTTACACCATATGGCCAGCTTTTTGAATATTGCTACACCAAAAAAACAACAAAAAAAGTTTTCAAATGATTCCAAAGCATGAATATTTTTACTTGCATTAGTGCAGCTTCTAAACTTGTTACTCAAAGGTCAAACAAAGTGTCAGGTACTCTTGTTGCAACATCCTTCCTGTTTTGTATGGCTTAGCCAAAAATCAGAAAACTGCAACAACTTAATTTCTGTTGCTCTCAGACTACTCAACTCTCTCTTCTGACCCAAATAAAGTATCATTATTCAGTTGGTCCTTTCTGGTGCTGGTGTTGTGAAGTAGTTAAAGACACTTAGACATTTCTCAAAATATCTTCTTTTAAGTCATACAGATTCGAATGACATGAGGGTAAATAAATGAGACAGACTTTTCGTTTTTGGGAGAACTATCCTCTTAACCCTAGATTGTTCCAGGAAGTCCTTGGAATCTCTTTAGATCCTACTAACTTTCTGCCATTTCTTTCCCAGAGTGCCCTCTTACGCTGGACAGCCCTAAAAGGGAAGCACGAACATGCACTATCAGCAGCAGACTAGCAGCCCTGAAAAAACAGAACGACATTGAATTGAAGGTGAAACAGGGGGCTGAGAACATGATCCAGATGTATTCAAATGGCTCCTCAAAGGTAATGTACCATTTGGTTTTATTTAATGACTATTTTTTTACTTAAGGCTTTTTTTTTTTTTTTTAACCAGTGGTGTAGAATCCAGTATTCTGTTGTTTACGAAGCACACGAGAGAACACCATATAACCATCTTGGCCCAGAATCTGCATACACTACCAGTCTAGTTTGGAGGCTGTCCTTATTTGATTAAAAATATAGTAAAAACAGTAATATTGTAAAATATTATTGCGATTTAAAAGAACTTTTTTTCTATTTTCCACTATATTTTAAAGTGTAATTTAGTCCTGTGATGGCAACGTTGAATTTTCATCAGCCATTATTCCAGTCATTAGTGTCACATGATCCTTCAGAATCATTGTAATATGCTGATTTGGTGCACAAGAAACATTTCTAATTATTATCAATGTTTAAAACTGTTGCACTGTGTAATATTTTTGTGGAAGCCATATTTGCTGAATAGAAATGAATGAACAGTATTGAAATAGAAATCTTTTGGAACACTATAAATAACTTTATCACTTTTAATCAATTTATTGCATTCTTGCTGAGAATAAGTATTCATATCCTTAAAAAAATTTTTTACTGACAGCAAACTTTTGAATGGTAGTGTATGTGTAAGGCAAAAAGGCCAACACACATAAAATATGCCTAAATTCACTTGGATAGAAACACAGGTCCCAGAACTACTGCTTTACTTCAACGAGTGCAGCTACTGCAACTTGCCTGAGAGGTTTGGCCATAGGAGTGGCACTGGTGATGTGCTTATCCCCTCTGGCTACACGCACACACACACACACACAGTGCAGCCCTATGGGAAATTAGCAAGGGCTGATGTCAACCAGGAAATGACTTGTAAACGAAAACCTTTCCTTCTCACACACTCTCAGCATGGTAACAGTCCCTGGCATATGTTTAGCCTTTGACCAGCTTGCACAAGAGTGCTACCAGTGTTAAAAATATTACATAACTTAATTAATAAAGTGAAGTAAAAAAATATAACCTTTTTAAAAGGATAATGAAAACTGAGTTTAGCAATAAGAGATTTTCCTGTCACCACATAAAATGTGTATTTGTTGTTGCATGACTTGACTTTTATGACACTGTTATTGACCTTGCAGGACAGAAAACTGCTTGAAACAGCACAGCAGATGCTTCAAGACAGCAAAACCAAGATCGAGTTCATCCGAATGCAGATTCTCAAAGCCAGCCAAACCAGCGAGCTCCGCTTCGACAACAATGATGTCATTGGTAACACTCAAACATAGTTCCTCCAGCGGTAGCATTCACAGTTCAACAAACACAAATCAATAAATATATTTGTGGTGTTGTGGTGCAGCCAAACCCATCATCAGTCCGCTGGACCTGCGGGTGGAGGAACTCTGCCATCACACACGGATAGAGTACGCTGTGGCCGAGGGGGCCAAGAATGTCATGAAGCTGTTGGGCTCTGGTAAACTGGCTGAGAAAAGGGCTCACTCAGAGGTATTTTCAACTAGATCGTTGTCATCATCACCTTCTGAACTGACGTTTTGGTGCATGTAACCTTTAGCACTATTTTTAAGTTTTAACATGTCCATAGCTTTCACCTTTTGACCCTTGCAGTCTTGGAAAACAAGGTGGCCTGAGAGACCACCAGCAGTGTTTGAGCTTGACATAGAATGGAATAAAATAAAGTTATATATACAGGTGCATCTCAATAAATTAGAATGTCGTGGAAAAGTTAATTTATTTCAGTAATTCAACTCAAATTGTGAAACTCGTGTATTAAATTTCATTTTCATTGTCAAGAGGAAGATGAGAGACACCAGACCCAACAATGCAGATGACCTGAAGGCCGCTATAAAAGCAACCTGGGCTTCCATACCACCTCAGCAGTGCCACAGGCTGATTGTCTCCATGGGACGCCGCACTGATGCAGTAATTCATGCAAAAGGAGCCCCTACCAAGTATTGAGTACATGTACAGTAAATGAATATACTTTCCAGAAGGCCAACAATTCACAAAAAAATGTTTTTTTTATTGGTCTTATGAAGTATTCTAATTTGTTGAGATAGTGAATTGGTGGGTTTTTGTGAAATGTGAGCCAAAATCATCACAATTAAAAGAACCAAAGACTTAAACTACTTCAGTATGTGTGCACTGAATTTATTTAATACACGAGTTTCACAATTTGAGTTGAATTACTGAAATAAATTAACTTTTCCACGACATTCTAATTTATTGAGATGTATGTGCATATATATATATATATATATATTTATTTATTTATTTATTTATTTATTTAGAATTTTGTTTCACACTTACAAATAAGCAAGCTTGCATTTTAATTTCATTTAATAAGCTTACTTATTCGTGTGAAAAGATGAAATGCAACAAAAAAAAATAAACAATTAAATCTGTAAGCTTGCTTACTTGAAAGTATGAAATAAAAATCATATATATATATATATATATATATGTATATGTGTTTTTATTGATTATTATAATTTAAGTTTTAATAAGTAAAAAAATTAGGTTTTTTGTTGTTTTTTTGTTTTTGTTTTGTAATTTAAATTAAATGAAAGTTTTTAGGTTGTGACATAATAAATACTGTTTCTGGGTCCAAGCCTCTACTCCATTTAATTTGAGAATGTTATCTCAACAGTCATTTATGAGCACTTTATATTTAAAGCAAACATTTAAGCTAAGCTTTTAAAAACTCACTGTGGGCACAAGAGTCTACAGGCTCACGGTGTCCTGGACACCAAGATTTAAACGATTCAGAAAAGATTAATCACTGTTTGGCCATTTCAGATTTTGGTATGTATATAAAGAATAGGATCATGATTTTTGGTGACTGCAAACTGTAAGAATATGTAGGTACCGTTGTTACCTTTTGGGATCTGATAGAGTGCTTGGACCCTGAAACGGTGACACGTGATGTCAGGCACAACAACCAGATGGAACATCAGTGTATGCAAAAGAGCTGCATGAAAAGTCTTTGTTTTAATTCCATGTAAAAAAAATAGCATGCAGGTTTTGGAACAACATGTGGATAAGTTAACCTGTTAGCGTTCCACTGTACCGTTCACAGTACACTGCATGTTTTTGAGGGTTAACTTCGTGACAAAAAAAAAAGAAAAGCTAAACATGTCGTTTGAAAGCTGAGATTCTTGTGATTCAAATGATGATACAATCAACACAGCAGGTACAATCAGTGTCTTTGTCAGACCGCCAACAAGGCTTCATGCTGTGATCCCATTGTGTTTTCCAGCTAATAGCTCCCAGCTATAGTCATCTGCAGGCGAATGTTTACAAAAAAACAAAAATGTGGGCGAAATGTTTTTTCCCTTTTTCAGAGTGTATAAAGTTCTATTACTCAATACCAGTACGACTTACAGTGATCCTGAGGTTTGTTCTGTTTAGGAGCAAACCTCAGAGTGTCACCTTTCAAAAGAGACCAAAATCATGCATATGCTCCGAATGGTTCAAGAACAGCTTGCAATTTACTTTGGGTATGCCTTTTTTAGGCATTTTAGGCAAATGTTACAGGAATGCTGAGGGGTTAATAATGACAAAGGTCGTTATTGGAGAACTATTCTGTTTCAGTTTATCATCTATAAGGTGAAGGTGCGGCCACATTACCGAAATGTCAGCAAATATTTGCGTGCAGAAAAGGTCCATAGTCTATTGTCAATAGTGTAGTGATGTATGAAGCACAGCTCATATAGAAGTTACTTTCAAACCAAGTAGCTTTCTGTTTGTCAGTGCAGCGAATTTTCGTGATCAGCTTGAGCATAATCAAAATCTGTGCACTCACTGAAACTACCAGTTGTGCGGATTTCTGTTGCTATGACTGGATTTTGCCCTTAAAACTTCAAAGCAACAGTAAATGTGACCGCACCTTTAGGTTTATATATATATGCATCCAACTGCCATTAATTCCTCTGCTGTAATTCTGTGAAATCCAGGCCCAAGCCAGATTCAATGAGTCCAGTCAGAAGCTGGATTTGTTGAAGTATTCCCTGGAGCAGAGACTCAATGAGCTTCCGAAGAACCACCCCAAGAGCAGTCTGATCATGGAGGAGTTATCGCTCATGTCCTCTCCGGCACTCAGTCCCCGTCAGAGTTTCATATCCACACTGAACCACAACAGCACTGTTAAAAACCAGTACAGCACCAAACCAGCTGCACTCACAGGTGACCAACACATATTACCTTCAGAATTTCCTTAATGTGTTATTTAAGTGTTATATGAAGCCGTAAACTGGGGTTAGTTCGATTTTTAAAAAAAAGAAATCAGCATTCAGCATGAACACATTCAATTGATCAGAAGTGAGAGTAAAGACATTTTAATCTTACAAAAGATTTCTATTTCAAATAAATACTGCTCATTTTGAACTTTCTGTTCATCAAAGAAACCTGAAATAAAATGTGTCCACTTTCCACAAAAATATTAAGCAGTTCAACTGTTTCCAGCATGTGAGAAATGTTTCTTGAGCAGCAAATCAGCACATTAGAATGATTTCTGAAGATCACGTGACACTGGAGTAATTACATTTTATAATGTGATAAAATATAAACCATTATTTAAAATTGTTATAATATTTCACAATATTACTGTTTTACTGTATTTTTCAAATAAATGCAGGCTGCGTGAGCTTAACTGTCACCATCCCACCTGTGGGACGCTTGGCGCTCTTTTTTTTTTATTGCCCTTTTTCTCTATCAAATCTTTTAGTAATCATCATAAAGTATATATAATTTGAAAGCTTAGAAGCCCAAGGTTCATCCTCTGAAAACCATTTTGAAATCAGACATTGCGTTACCATAGAAATAGTACTTTAAAATCTTTTGGCAGTCTCCTCCCCCTTAGTGGGCAGTGTCAAGTGTCATATTACAAATGCTTTATGGTTTTTTAGAATCAAACCTTTTTATAATCTTGACAAAAAACATATGACTGGAAAGGTCTGAGTCTCAGGAATCCATATTTGGTGGTTACTTTGAGAAGTAGATATTATAGAAGTAATATTGACAGAGAAATCTAGACATTTGTGACAGAAAAATGCATTAAAAAATTTTGTATGGAGTTTGGATGGCGCCCGGTGGCTGTTTGTGGTATGACGCCCTAAATAAAATGTCACAGGAACCTCAATTTTTTTCATATCAACTTCAAATTTAGAACATAACTTATTTAGACATAAGGCTTTAATTTTATACCAATTTTAGAGTAAAATATGTTATGTAAAATATTTATAATAAAATACAATTAATATAATGCATTATTTACAGTACATTTAAACTTCTATAACTTTTTGATACTTTCATTTTTTGAAACAATTTCACTTTTGTGTTCACAACCTTATGTCTGTATTCCAAAGTGTTGATAAATTACAACAATTTAAGTTTGTGTAGTGCACTTTCATGCCTATTTTAAAAAATGGGGGGTGACAGTTAAGGGGTTAAGAGGCTTCTTTCAAAAACATTTAAAAAAAATCGTACTGACCACAAACTTTTAAATGGCAGCATATTTTAATGGTGATTGTTATTGACTAAAACAGGCAAATTAGAGGTTCGGCTCATGGGATGTCAGGACCTGTTAGACAGTGTTCCTGGCCGGTCTAAAGCCACGTCGGTGCCGCTGCCCGGTTGGAGCCCCAGTGAAACGCGCTCCTCTTTCATGAGCCGTGGGAACCGCAGAGGAACCAGTGTTCGAAATCTCTCCAAAAATGATGACTTGTCCAGTTGAGTTGTTGTTAGTGCTTACTTTCAAGTGGCTTTTCATAAGCCTTTCATTAGACTTTTATATGCAATTTAAGAAGCAAAGCTGTGGCAGTCAAGGAGCTTAATATGTGTACGTGTCTCTGTTTGTCTCCAGATGAGATTAGTGCTGTTCTGAAGCTTGACAACACTGTCGTTGGTCAGACCAGTTGGAAACCTGTCAGTAATCAGTCGTGGGACCAGAAGTTTACATTAGAGCTAGACCGGGTAAACTCACTGTACATGACATTTATTTACACCTACTGATGTTTATTTACACATAAAACATTCATAACGCTTGTGTTGTCTTGTTTCTATATGCTTTGGCAAATGTTTGTTTACCACAGTCTCGTGAGCTGGAGATCTCGGTGTATTGGAGAGATTGGCGGTCCCTTTGTGCGGTGAAATTCCTGCGACTGGAGGACTTCCTGGACAACCAGCGGCACGGAATGTGCCTTTACCTTGAGCCACAAGGGACTCTGTTTGCAGAGGTACCTTTACAATATTGTCTCTCAGCGATCAATAATTTTCCCTCAAAAAGCCCTCTGATAAGCCGCCCGGAGCTTTGAGAAAATCTAAGAGGAATTCCTCACGCTTAGTGGCCCCTGAAACCCCCCCGGGCAGGTTTTCCCACCTTTGCTTTTCTAAAGAAACTGAGCCTAGTAGATCTGAAGTGGAATTTGATTAGTTTTCAGAGCTTGATCTAAAATCTATTTTTGTTACAGGTTACCTTTTTTAATCCAGTCATTGAGCGAAGAACCAAACTCCAGAGGCAGAAAAAGATCTTCTCAAAGCAACAAGGTGAGGGCATTTCTTCTACACAGTAGAGTAATTTGAGCCTTTAAAATGGTCACATTAGGGTTTCTTGAACAAAAACAAAAAAACAGTTCAAAAATAGCTTTGTAGAACCATTTGCCAGACCTGTAGAATTGCAGACTTTTTTTGGTAGTGCACATAAAAGGTTTGTATTTGAACATTCAAATGGCATGTAGTGTGTGCAGTATGCAGATTGTCTGTATTTATAGAATAACTAGATGACCTGCTGCATTTGCCAAAAAGAATAGTATGCAACAGAGCTTTAATGTGCTGCGTACTGTATCCCACAGCACAATACACTCAATGTTTTATTTCCAGTGTGAGGGATGAGCAATTTTCTTTATTATTTGATTGGACTTCCAAAAGTTGTATGACGCCCTAAATAAAATGTCACAGGAACCTCAATTTTTTTCATATCAACTTCAAATTTAGAACATAACTTATTTAGACATAAGGCTTTAATTTTATACCAATTTTAGAGTAAAATATGTTATGTAAAATATTTATAATAAAATACAATTAATATAATGCATTATTTACAGTACATTTAAACTTCTATAACTTTTTGATACTTTCATTTTTTGAAACAATTTCACTTTTGTGTTCACAACCTTATGTCTGTATTCCAAAGTGTTGATAAATTACAACAATTTAAGTTTGTGTAGTGCACTTTCATGCCTATTTTAAAAAATGGGGGGTGACAGTTAAGGGGTTAAGAGGCTTCTTTCAAAAACATTTTAAAAAAATCGTACTGACCACAAACTTTTAAATGGCAGCATATTTTAATGGTGATTGTTATTGACTAAAACAGGCAAATTAGAGGTTCGGCTCATGGGATGTCAGGACCTGTTAGACAGTGTTCCTGGCCGGTCTAAAGCCACGTCGGTGCCGCTGCCCGGTTGGAGCCCCAGTGAAACGCGCTCCTCTTTCATGAGCCGTGGGAACCGCAGAGGAACCAGTGTTCGAAATCTCTCCAAAAATGATGACTTGTCCAGTTGAGTTGTTGTTAGTGCTTACTTTCAAGTGGCTTTTCATAAGCCTTTCATTAGACTTTTATATGCAATTTAAGAAGCAACGCTGTGGCAGTCAAGGAGCTTAATATGTGTACGTGTCTCTGTTTGTCTCCAGATGAGATTAGTGCTGTTCTGAAGCTTGACAACACTGTCGTTGGTCAGACCAGTTGGAAACCTGTCAGTAATCAGTCGTGGGACCAGAAGTTTACATTAGAGCTAGACCGGGTAAACTCACTGTACATGACATTTATTTACACCTACTGATGTTTATTTACACATAAAACATTCATAACGCTTGTGTTGTCTTGTTTCTATATGCTTTGGCAAATGTTTGTTTACCACAGTCTCGTGAGCTGGAGATCTCGGTGTATTGGAGAGATTGGCGGTCCCTTTGTGCGGTGAAATTCCTGCGACTGGAGGACTTCCTGGACAACCAGCGGCACGGAATGTGCCTTTACCTTGAGCCACAAGGGACTCTGTTTGCAGAGGTACCTTTACAATATTGTCTCTCAGCGATCAATAATTTTCCCTCAAAAAGCCCTCTGATAAGCCGCCCGGAGCTTTGAGAAAATCTAAGAGGAATTCCTCACGCTTAGTGGCCCCTGAAACCCCCCCGGGCAGGTTTTCCCACCTTTGCTTTTCTAAAGAAACTGAGCCTAGTAGATCTGAAGTGGAATTTGATTAGTTTTCAGAGCTTGATCTAAAATCTATTTTTGTTACAGGTTACCTTTTTTAATCCAGTCATTGAGCGAAGAACCAAACTCCAGAGGCAGAAAAAGATCTTCTCAAAGCAACAAGGTGAGGGCATTTCTTCTACACAGTAGAGTAATTTGAGCCTTTAAAATGGTCACATTAGGGTTTCTTGAACAAAAACAAAAAAACAGTTCAAAAATAGCTTTGTAGAACCATTTGCCAGACCTGTAGAATTGCAGACTTTTTTTGGTAGTGCACATAAAAGGTTTGTATTTGAACATTCAAATGGCATGTAGTGTGTGCAGTATGCAGATTGTCTGTATTTATAGAATAACTAGATGACCTGCTGCATTTGCCAAAAAGAATAGTATGCAACAGAGCTTTAATGTGCTGCGTACTGTATCCCACAGCACAATACACTCAATGTTTTATTTCCAGTGTGAGGGATGAGCAATTTTCTTTATTATTTGATTGGACTTCCAAAAGTTAAAACACACAGAATTTGGTTAAATATGCAAAATAACTACTTTCTTACAAGATGATAACTGGGTGCCACACTGCCACTTACTGAAAGAAACTTTGCATGGGGATCACATTTTAAATTACTGTTCAAAAGTTTATTTTTTTTCCCTAGAAAAAATGTATCTTATGCTCACCAAAGCATTTGTTTGATCAAACATACAGCAAAACCAGAAATACTGTGAAATATAATTATAATTTAAAATACATTATTACAATTCTATTATAATATATTTAAAAATGTGATTTATTCCTGTGATGCAAAGCTGAATTTTCAGTAGCTGTTACTCCAGTCTTCAGTGTCACATGATCCTTCAGAAATCATATGAAATCAGTTATTATTATCACATTTGAAAACTTTTGTGCTGCTTAATTTTTATGTGGAAACCTTAATACTTAATAATAAACGTAAAACTAAATGATTTTTTGATGAATAGAATATTTAAAATAACAGCATTTATTTGATTTAGAAATCTTGACATTATAAATATCTTAGCATTATAAATATCTCTCTCTTAACATTATAAATATCTTTACTGTTGCTTTTGATATATTTAATGCATCATTGCTGAATTAAAGTATTAATATGAAATCTTACTGATCCCAAACTTTTGAACGGTAGTATATGCTGTTTTATTACGTTAACTAGCTAACTAATATTCTTTCATAAACATTGCTACATGTTTGCGTTTGTGTCTAATACTGGGCAGGCTGTTTTTAATGTGTTTATTTTTGTGCTGTCACAAAATCTTCAATTTCATAGCAAGCTGGGGAGAAAGCTACAATATGTTTACATAGAAATTCAAACTGTTTATTTCAAAAAGAAAATGTTGATTTACAATAACAATTTAAATATTAAAACTGTCACAAAAAGCGAAAGATTTCCAGCTACGTATGGGCCAATTATAAATAAAATCCCTTTTCATAATACAGGCATAATGCTTGTAATAAAGCAAAACCGTGATTTATTCCCACCTGTCAACAAACCTGGGCTTCAGTCCCAAACCTGCACCTGCACCTTCTGAAAGCTTTCCTTTATGAAACACCCTTTGGTTTAGTTTATATGTGACCCTGGACCACAAAACCAGTCTTAAGATTCAATTTTTCAAAATTGAGATTTATACATCACCTGAAAGCTGCTAAATTAACCTTTCCATTGATGTATGGTTTGTTAGGATAGGACAATATTTGGTCGAGATACAACTATTTGAATATCTGGAATCTGAGGGTGCAAAAAACATTTTTAAATATTGAGAAAATCGCCTTTAAAGTTGTCCAAATGAAGTTCTTATTTTTGGCATAAAAGAAAAATCTATAATTTTGATCCATACAATGTATTTTTGGCTATTGCTACAAATCTACTCCAGCGACTTAAGACTGGTTTTGTGCTCCAGGGTCACATATTATTGTCATTGTAGCTTCTTGTTTATATTACCCTGATCTCTAAGTAAAGAGATTTATAGGCGTCTGATAAATGTTTCTTTTTTAAGTCTCTTATGCTCACCAAGACTCTTTTTTTTCAATTAAAAATACAGTAAAAAGTGAAATATTTTGGCAATTTAAAACAATTGTTTTTTTATTTTAATACATTTTCAAATGTAATTTATTCTTGTGAAGCAAAGCTGAATTTTCAGCATCATTACTCCAGTCTTCAGTGTCACGTGATCCTTCAGAAATCAGTCTAATATGCTGATTTGCTGCCCAATAAATTATTATCAATGTTGAAAACAGTTAATATTTTTGTGGAAACCGTGATGCATTTTTCTCAGGATTATTTGATGAATAGAAAGTTATAAAGAACAGCATTTAATTGAGATAGAAATTAATTGTAAATGTCTTTACTGTCACTTTAGATTAATGTCCTTACTGAATGAATAAAAGTATTAATTTCTTAAAACAAACAAAAAAAAATCTTGCTGACCTCAAACTTTTGAGTGTACCTCATAACCTGGATAAGAAGATATTCATATTCGTACTCAAGCAAATGTATGAAATGTGAAAGCGACAGTATTTTTGTAACTGTTTTGTGTTACTAAGTGAATTCATGTTTCCATAGTCTCCATTTCCTGGTGATGATGAAGAAGAGGTTTTTGACAGCATTGTGAATGACGAAGTTCGCTACCCAAGATTCCTCTCAACAGAGGCCATCTCCATTATGAGAAGGGTTGGTACCAAGAGCAGCTTTATCATTGTGGATTTACCAGGTGTAGACACTAATATCAATCTTGTTATTAAAATCTTTCTCTTTTGCACACAGTTATTAAGAAGGAATCCCGAGCGACGACTTGGAGCTGGTGAACGTGACGCAGAGGATGTGAAGAAACATCTGTTCTTCAGAGTAAGTTCCAAACCATCTGGCTACATATATCCAGTCATTCCAAGCATTGTATTTTCCCCTCTCTCTCTGAATATAAATATTATTTGTACTTTATTTATTTTCAGAATATTGACTGGGATGGACTATTAGCAAAGAAAGTGAAGCCACCATTTGTACCCACAATCCAGAGTTCCATTGATGTTAGTAATTTTGACGATGAATTTACCTCAGAGGCACCGGTGCTCACACCCCCCAGAGAACCCCGGCCCTTAACCCAGGACGTGCAGGACCTATTTGCAGACTTTGACTATATTGCAGACTGGTGTTAGTCATGTGTTGGCATCCCTCCCTCTCTCTACACACACACAAGACACAGAAAATGTGAATCAGACCATTTGCAAATATCCTTTTTTTGTTGTTGTCAGTGTTATTTTAGGATTACCACATCCCCTTTTCCGTATTAACATGAAGAAGAAACTTTAAAAAAAAAAATTTTTTATGATTATTACCAACATGTTCAGGTTCAGGATGATTATTCCATTTCATCGGGGCTTAAGCACTGATCATGAAAAACATGAACTGAGCAGTATAGTTTTCAACTGTACTGACAACTTACCATGGCTTGAACCATGTGATCAGGTGCTTCACTGACACCCCCTAGTGTTGAGGAAGTCAGTAGGCCACATCCACATTCATCTTGCCCACGGAATTCCATCAGTTACACTAAGAATGATGAGCCTTGATTTTAATATTTTTTGTATTTGAAGCATTTACATTGCGACTGGTTAAAAAGTCTGTCAGCTGTCAATGTTGATTATGTGGAAGTGTTTTAAAGCCATAGACCGAAATAATGATAGTGATACATTGTACCTCATCCAATGAATGTATAGTTTGCCACCATTACCAAAACATCTAGCCATTTTTATGTAATGGAGACTTTACTCTTCCCTACAGTACAGTAATAATGCATTAAGATCCTAGTTACAACGGAATCCCAAATATGAACTACCAGTTACAGCTCTAATCATATATGTCAGTGCTTTGAAACAGGGAATGCATTTACTTCCATTGAGTTATTGTTCTATCAAGTTTCAGGAGAGGGTCATGTTTTTTTTTTACCAGACTTAAGCTGTCAGTGGATTTACACTACCGTTCAAAAGTTTTGGGTCAGTAGGATTTTTTTTGTTGTTGTTGAAAATTCAGCTTTGACATCACAGAAATAAATTACATTTTAAAATATATTCAAATAGTAAACCGTAATTTAAAATGTTAATATTTCAGTGTTACTATTTTGTTCAAATAAATGCAGCCTTGGTGAGCCCAAGTAATTTCTTTCAAAAATGTTACCAATCTCAAACTTTTGAACAGTAGTGTGTATGTGTGACAGGCAATCACATTACCTCAAGTCATGACCTAGTTGTTCCTTACTGAAATTCCTCCTGTTTTTCCATATGTGGTCATGAGTCATGACAGACTGGAATCTATGCTAGACACCAAATATCAATATGAATATACTAATAACTGGTCTAGATGTTCAAAACTAGGCCTGAAGCTTCATATATGTAATAAGCAATCCAAGTGGAGGGGTAGATGCTAGTTTGAGGTCTGGTGATTTATATCGGCTACTCTACATAAACACTATAAAGCTGGAAGCACTAATTTTCGACTAAAATATCCATGTTTTATCTAAATTGTGTGGAAACAAAGGACTGTACAAAGGTTTTCTACTCACTACTACTCGTACGTCTGAGCATGATGCAGAAAAGTTTCAAAGGTACAATTGTGAATTTTGACTTGATAATGGTGTAAATAACAGGTTTAGCTAAAACTGTCAGCCATCATGAATGCAAAAATTAAATGTTTATGTAAATTGTGAGTCTTTCTAGATTTTGTAGACCTAATGAGATTGCAAGTCGTTTATTGTCACTTCAAAAAGGATTCTCTGGTGTTTCATGAAATCTTTATAATAACAGATGTGAGTACAGGAACAGAAACTTTCACGTCATACCATTCCCCTCGTGAATTAAAAAAGAGGGGGAAATAATACCATTTGTCAGCTACACGCTTTCAAAGCTCAAGGTAAGCTGTTTTGGGGATTTCCAAGACGTTCACCATGCTTTTCTGAAAAGCATTTAAGTTACTAAATAGAATGCAAACAAGCTAATAAAATCATCTTCTACAAAAGAAAATGTTACAGTAAGAAATATGCCTAGTTGTAACCACCAAATTCTCACTTAGACATATGTACAATTTATATAAACACAAATGAAAGTACAGCCTGCAATCAGTGATACATTTTGGAATGTCTTCTGTACTTAGTCGAATCTCTGCCGTCGTCTTTTCAAAAGGCTTGTGCCTTCACGAGGAAAGAGCAAACCTTGCCAATTTCAAAGAGAAAAGGGCAAAAATTCAGACAGTACAAAGAGCGGTGAGAGTGGGGCACATGGGTGTTCACAGTTGAGGCAGTTTATCCACTGGTGTGTCAAACTTGAAGTCTGGAGGAAAGAGATTGGCAGCGCGGGGATAAATGAGACGGTAGGACTGACGGATTGTGACGTCTGCAACTCCAGTAATGTCCCCAATCTCTGCACAAAGGAAAAAAATTCCATTAATCAAGGACACTAACATATCACCTTTTGTATGTGATTATCACAAAGACTGGATTACATATTTGAAGGCTTCAAATGCAAAAGCCACTAAGTGCCGTCTGAAAGTTTCTTCTAAAATGAGCATTTTTATCAGACTCCTATGGTTGGGTTCAGTCATTTTTTGGCAGTGAATAGGTCCTTTTTGTTGACATTAAAGGTGGGGTATGTATTTTTTCAAAAACGCTTTAGAAAACTGAGTCTTGTAGCCAATCAGCAGTAAGGGGCGTGTCTACTCATGATGTGGAGGAGAGAGCGCTCAGTGCACAGGACAGACATTAGCCGAGCCCAGCGACAGAAAGATAGAGATGGTGGATAAAAAACAAAAGAGGAAAAGATCTGCGGAACAAAAGAAGGCTTACGATAAGGCAAGAAGTAGGACCCGTGTAAATATCGGATCAGATTTTCAGCACTGAAGAGAACTCAAAGAGCGGAAGGCCTGCGATCGGACGCCGAGATTGCTTTGTTTCTTCTCGATAGGCGAGTAACACTGTGTCTGCGCCGCAACAGCTAAAGTCTGTCTAGTACACTGGACGCGACAAAGCGACCGTTGAAAATCGTGTCAATACGTCAAATAGAATGCATCCGCAGTTTTCTGTCAGAGATTTGTGTGTATATATATCTATGGTGTATACAGCATCACTGATTATAATGAGTTCTATAGTATTTTGTCGCGCCGTGCCGCTTGCGTCTGGTGTAGACACGGTGTAACATTGGTTTTGCTTTGTTTCACAGAACTAATCGTTGCCTGGGTTTGCGTACGCATGTGTGGGGCGGAGCTATCAAAATAGGGGCGAGACCCTTTTGGGGTAGGGGCGTGGTTGTTTTGGTGATTTTGAATATCAACATTGGCTACCAGAAATCCCTTAACCCACCTTTAAAATGAAATAACAACATAAACATACGAGCCTGATAAAAGTGCTTTTGCATTTGAAGTCTTCATTTGTTTTCACATACCCTTCTGTGTCTTCTTCTCAGCAGACGCTTGAGAGGCCATGTATATGGCTGCAGCTGCCACTGAGATCGGACTGCGCCCTGGAACCAAGTCTAGTTCAACGGCCTTCCTGGCGATGTAAGTGGCCGCCATCTGCACCTGTTTGGGCAAGCCCAAGTTGGAGCAGAAACGTGACATGAAGTCGCTGGTTGTAATGAGGTCAACGCTCGTCTCAAGAGCCTTCAGGATAAGCTTGAAGCAACGGCCAATCTCCTTCTTCGAGATCCGAGACACGGCACAGATTTCTGGGGTGGAGGGAGATAGAAATGATTAAACAAACTTGTATATCAAAACCTGCTGGAATATTGATAGCTAAATATCTTCAGTTATAGAGTTATCTAGCATAATGCTAAAGGTGAAGTGTGTCATTTCTGCATCACTAGCATCACCAAATGCAGTTATGGCCCTTTTCCACTGCGTGGTTCAACTCTGCTCAGCACGGCTCGGTTTGCATTTCCACTGCAGTTTAGTATCGCTTTAGAGTGGGTGGGATTATTCACATGTCGTTCATAGTTGCACCGCCTCTATTGCCACGACTCCTGAAAAATTTGTTCTGTATTTGTCTGTACTTCCTCAACAGACAACGAAACAGACACTTTTTGGTTGTTAAAAAAGGTGTGCTCATTTAAATCTAGCGGTTCTGTTGTGTTTGTGTCGCAAGTTCAGTGACGCAGGTAGTGACGATTCTCTCCGGCCAATCCATGATCAGCAGAGTTTACACTTCACGTTTTGGTAATGGTGCGGTTCACTTGGAACCTCAACAGAGGTGGTACTAAAAAAAGTACCAGGTACCAGTTACTGTACCCAGTGGAAAACCCCCCCAAAAGTGAACCGTACCGAGCCGTACCATGCAGTGGAAAAGCGCCATTATAAAACTAAGAGGTTTTCCAGAACACTTCCTCAACAGACAACGAAACAGACACTTTTTGGTTGTTAAAAAAGGTGTGCTCATTTAAATCTAGCGGTTCTGTTGTGTTTGTGTCGCAAGTTCAGTGACGCAGGTAGTGACGATTCTCTCCGGCCAATCCATGATCAGCAGAGTTTACACTTCACGTTTTGGTAATGGTGCGGTTCACTTGGAACCTCAACAGAGGTGGTACTAAAAAAAAGTACCAGGTACCAGTTACTGTACCCAGTGGAAAACCCCCCCAAAAGTGAACCGTACCGAGCCGTACCATGCAGTGGAAAAGCGCCATTATAAAACTAAGAGGTTTTCCAGAACACTCCCTTTGCCTTCCATTGGTCGCTCAAACAAATAAACTCAAGCTACTGAGGGCAAAAGTGCCCATCCACTTTTTCAGCAGCCTTTGTTCTGGAAGTATTTTTCCCATAGGGATTTTAGAAAAGTCTTTTAAGAGTTATAAACCATGAACCAACCAGCTATGAGATGATTTACAATATTACAAACTATGATACCATCGATTAACAATCTCACAGCAAGTCTGTTTTTAAGTTATTGTTAAAAATCAATTCCTCCAACCAATTATGGAGAAAATTAGCAGGATTTTTAATTCCAGAACCCGACTGTTGCACACTATAAGTTGAGCTAATGTTGACGGCAGACACAATAAATTCAGTACAATAATGTCTATCAATCAACAACATCATAAAAAAGAATATGCAGTTTCAACCTTTAAAGGTTCTAGGGACGCTCTCCTGTCTGCAAGCTAGGTAAAGGCAGGCCGAAGCGATCGCATCATTACTTCTGCCTTTCAGACTCTTTTGTTCGTAAACCTGTTTGAACAAGTTGTTTGTTTGGTCCTGTAACAGAGAAAGAGAGATTTACTGAGAAGATGGAGGAATATGCTTGCCAAGTGAGGTTGGAAATATTGGTCAATGGATTACCAAGGGCAGTCATATTTAGAAATGTGAAACTCTGAATTCTAGATGATACACGTGTTGCTGAGTTGTGACATCGGAAGGTAGTCGATGTGAAACATGACAGAAACCCTGATCTATAATAGATAAAATCAAATTTCTGAAATCTATATAGAGATCAGTGAGCAGAAACCATCTGTAGTGAATGGAAATGAATGATTTTGCTAATTATTTTAAATTTGCATGCTGTAATTCAATCATGTTCACTCATCAAATGGTTTGATGTATGAAGAAGCTAATAGAAAAGTGTAAAGTTAATAACTCATGGTTTTCTTTATGAAAACTAAATTTTGTTGTTCATGCATAAAGTATGTGATTGAAATGAATCATTTTCATAATTCAGAAGTAGTTATTTGGCTTCACTGTTCACAATATAATTTTCTGGTTTTGTTTAGGCTACCTCCGTCATCTTTCCGACCTGAATGTGTGACGATATACACAATGCCCAACTTCCCAGGTGCACTTGAAGGCAGCATAATTACATTGCATTATTACGTTACCATCTAATTCAATAACAGTAGGCTGAGACACTCACAATGATGTTTCTGGGGAGGTTGATCCTGTCGGCCATGGTGCTGATCTCTTTAAAGGCATTCAACATGGCTCGATCAGAGCTGCTCATGGTTCTCCGATTCTGGTACT